AGAATGTTGGGAAATCTTTGGTGCGAGTTCTAGATATTAATAATAATAATAATAATAATAATTTATTCTCAAATAATGACTTAAGTGCACACGATCGACATGTTGATCAAATACTATTCCAGGAACCAGGTAAGTTCGTTCCAATTTCGGTTGTTAATTCTAATGCTAATGAGTACATTTTAGATAATACAGATTCTGTATTTAATACACTGTCTGACAGACACAAGATGAACTTGAGAAGATGACGTACAATTGATTACAGATACCTAGACTCCAATTTAAGCTGTGGCGGATGTGGTGTTTGAATGAACTAATGATTTCTTTGCACTTGTTGAGTGCTTGATTTCGAGTTCCAAATACAGTACATTCGTCAAAGCTTACCTAGTACTTCCTGATCCAGTTGCGTTATTTCTGGGACTCTTAGTTCATATACTCCTGATTATCATAACAAGAGATACATATAAAAATGCCACAAATATTTGTAGTTCGACAATACTCTAAATCAGTAACACCTTTTATAATGGGAACGTGCCAACTCAGAAGTTGCCGAAGTGTACGATGAAAATCCCATATTGTTCGACTATTTGCATTCTGAACCATGTCCCCTTAAATTGTTGTCATTGCCATTTCCAAAATAACAAGTGGTTATTGAATCATATTGTATTGTATTCCAGTCAATGACAACTTGGGTTCTCAGTTAACAACAAACATGTAAAATTAATATACATTTTGTGACAAATATTTATTTTCATTCTCGTTATAGTTGCAGCAATATAAGTAAGTTGTTTGTATTGTAGAGGCAAATAAATTCCGAAGCCCGACATGATCTGGTACGCTAAACAATAAACTGTAGATCTGGTTCTTGTTGTAACGTTATATATCATATTTTTATTTTACATTTTTGGTATACACTTTGTATTTGTGGACTTTTTCACATATATGCGTATTTTGTTTTCACCATGACAGAATTGGCACCTGGACTGATCAAGATTATGACTCATTCGCCTGCCACGTTCGAATTCACAACATTCTGGCCAGACAATATAGTGGCCTGGTTCTGCTACGCAGAAGCTGAATTCCACGATTACGGCGTGTCAGACCAATGTGTACAATTCTTCGCAGTAGGGAAAGCACTGCTGCACGATTCTGACAAGTACGTCACACCTAGTTCGTCTGCAAGTGATGTTTCTGAACTTTACACCACTCTGGATAAGACTATCATAGAACGTGTTGACCTTACTGACCGACAAAGTTTAAAACAGTTCTTCTAGAACATGGAGTTGAAGCGTAGCCTAGTAACGCCTGTGTTGCGACGTATGCGAGAGATCTTTGTTCAACGGACTTTTGACAAGAGCCTTTTAGGACAGCTCTTCTTATCTAAGCTTTCCTGATAGGCTCAGGTGGTTATTATCTCATTTCAAAATAACTTCGCAGACAAACTGGCTACATCTCCGAGTAGAATTAGGAAGATCACTAAATTATCCAGCATTGAGGTTGGTTCTGTCAAAGAAAATTCTCAAAGAACACAAAATGACATTGCGGATTTCTGTCATACTCTCATTAGTTATTTTAATATTCATCATACTCACAGCGCTCCAAAAAGCCTATTACGAAGAGCATCTGTCTCTAAAACACGATAAGTATGATAAGTCCCCCATACATTGCAGAAAACCTTGCAGTTTCCCAACCTTCAAACCATCCGGAACGAAAAACCTCTGAAAAATTTCCTCCCTCTTGTATACAATAACAGTAACCGTATCTGTTAGACAAGGCCGTTTGTAGTAAATCACTGACGTGATGGCAAAAGGATCGCCATTTTGTTGACATTGAAGCGGAAGTTATAATTATTCACAAACAAATTGTTGGCACATAATTGTTGCGAAGAATACATTTTACAGTTTCTTCAAAAATGCAGTCCTACACAAGTTTCAATGAGGTTTGCATAATATTTGCCATATATATAATCAGGTTCTGTGGGAATATTAGGGAGCTTCATTTAAAGAAGGAAAAGGGAAAAAAGAAGGAAAGAAACCTGAAATGTGCAAATATTTTAATAAGTGTGTACGTGAAAACAGAATAAGAACAAACGTGATGTCTGTATTACAAATGTATAAAAAACAAATAAGGAGATGAGAAAGTAAATCATTAATGCAGTATGATGCCATGACAGAACGAGAGTTTGCGCAATAATAATTTGGTATGACGCTTTGAAAGTCTTAATTAATTGCAAAGGATAATCCAATATCAGTTTGTATGTCATATAAACGTGGTGAAGATACAATGAATTTGAACAGTTCAAGTGTAACACAAGATAAGCCTTACAAGATCTACTCGAAGAAGCCGATCTCTATCAAAATTGTTTGAAAGATATATGAGAGGAAGAACAAGAACACATCAATTAATAACAGTCGAACAAGATCAGAGAAAACCAAAGTGTAGACCGAATACACAGAAGCAAGCAAGCGGGTGAAGTGGGGCATTAAAGACAACAAGTAGTAATACGTGACGTAGCCAGCCACGTGTGGTGTTTGAATGAACTAATGATACCTTTGTACCTGTCGAATGCTTGATTTCGAATTCTAAATACAACACATTCGTTCGTGCTTATCTGGCACTTCTCGATTCAATTGGGTTATTTCTGGGATCATTAGTTCATACTATTATTCAAATACTTATAATTACTACACCACGGCAACTGAAAAAGCTGTAAGACAAGAAACTGTGAAAAAAACTATATCACACAACGAAGAAACTGGTAGTGAAATATAGTAAGCCAGAGAAACCAGTTAAGAACAACGAAGTATGTTAATCACTGAGATTCAATAATAGAGGAACATGTGGTAAAACACTTTGAAGAACTATGAACTAGGTCATCTCTATTGAATCCACCGGATATCAAAGCAACACACACAAACCTTTCCGTAGATGTCACTTCACCAACGATTCATGAAATCGGGATGGTCATCAGACAAATGAATAGCAGAATAGCAGTAGAACCTGACAATATACCAGCTGAAGCATTGGAATAAGACACGGAAGAGACATTAAAGATTCTTCGTTTTTTTCAGGATGAATTTTGGCACGGGAAAAATGTCAGACTCTTCCAAAGCTCCCCACTGTTTCGTTTCAACGACCCTGAACGGCCTAACAAGAAGCGATAATTCTGTATTTCACTTGCCGTATTGGCGTAGTGACCTTACTGTGCCAGTAAATCGCGTTACTAGAGATAATCATTAAACAAACAATTTAACGGAATTCGTCATCATACATCAACTCCCTTGACTATAAGAATTCAGTTCTTAGTGTATATAGGAGGATTTTATGAAGCCTTATGAGACAATATGTAGCGAGTAGCTTGAGAAGATCGTCAACATCATCCAGAATTCATATGATGGACTACACTGCAAAGTCGTATATAGAGAATAGCTGACAGACTCATTCCAAGCGAAGACCGGAGTCAAACGAAACTGCTTACTCTTCTTTCTCTTTCTTCTGGTGGTTGAATGGGTTATGAAGAGCTTTGATGCACCTAGACTATTCGAACTTTTTAGACAACCTAACTTTTCTGTCCCACACCTATGAACCAGTAGGTCTAACATACACAAGGTAAAAAGCAAGATCCTCTTTAGTATCCCGGGATCTGACTTCAAGTAGATCATGTGAATGATTGTTACTGAAATATATATGTCGTCTATCCTGGTTTATAATCATCGGCTTAAATCGCGTCAGTCAATAGCGGAACTAAATAAGTCAAACACGAAAATGAATGTTGAATACGCATATTTCATACAATCTTTTATCTAGACGAAATATCGGAGAAGTGAAGAGAAAAGAGCGGAGCGGAATGACGCTCAGTGGAGAAGGCATGTAGCCAACTCCATTTAACCAAGCGTTAATCAATAGTTATATTCACACAAAAATAAGTTACAGATATGTGATGAATGGAATAAGAATTGTACACATACACTCATTTAAAAACAGTCAAGGTTGATAGGTGAATAATTAACAAGGTCAGAATGTGACTCATATAGAATGAATAGATCGGCATGTCCGAAAGCTAGAATAAGATATATGGGCTTAATATATTAACCGACACTACATCTCAAATACAACACTGAGAACACCAACCGAATCACACTTGGTAGAGAAAGTCTGGAAGAGGTTGAATTTATCACGTACCTAGAAAAACCTAATATTCAGAGTATGCCAACCCAATCAAATTAGAAGTCAGAAGTGATGAGGTCCAAAAATATTTTCGAAAGGCAATTGATATACTTAGAAGCGTTTAACCTATGCTGACTAACAGTTGAAGGAAATGAGTGGCATGGTGTACAAATTCATGATATAGTGCGGATGCGTGGCCGAGCGCGTTCAGCCAGGTGTGTCCATCAAACCTAGTGAGGTCAGCACCAAATCTCAAAGACTTACTGAACTATTTAATTTGTAGATTTACTTGCCGCTACAGACTCAAACTTTCTTATGTTCTATCTTTACTGTAGACAAGTCGAGCGTGTCTCATATGTTGGAAGATGGACGCAAAGCAAAAGACATAACCAACTTTTTCAAAAAGTCATTCACGCACAAGTACTTAGTCGTCGATATAAATAGCCCAACAAAGCAGGTCGAAAAAGTGCTTAAAGTTCTTGATGAAGAACAATGCCGACCCTCCTAAAAATATTAAGCCTAGTTTTTTAAATAGTCTAATTCTATTATTAAACGCTTTAAACGCTATGAATGCAGTGGGGTTAAGCTATCTGTCTATAAACTCGATTTCAAGAACACCTTATTATAAAGCTTGCGCTGTTGATTGTTGTCTATTACCGTCTCTGATAAGTGAGTGCATTAGCCGAGACTTCAACTTACTCTTTTTCGATTATCTTTTCCGATCCTACCCATGCTACTCTACATGCTCCTCAGTCATATAAAGTATCTTCCGAGTAGACGTGAATTGCTACATGAAGAAACTGCTTAACCATTATTAGGCAATTGTCAAAGAATAGTAGTTATTAGACGTTGTTTTAATTTTTTCATGCTGGCGGTCCACCGACCTCGCTAATTACAGGTGGGAATTCAAAATGCCCGCAGGCAAACCGTCTGGTCTGAAGACTGCTCGCAAACTTCGAGATCATCGCCGAACCCAGAAATGGTCGGATAAAGCATACAAAAAGGCTCATATTGGAACGAGGTGGAAAGCGAATCCTTTCAAGGGTGCCTCACACGCTAAGGGTGTTGTACTAGAGAAGGTAAGTCACATTGTTCAAGACATTGTATCTTAGGTTGGTGTTGAAGCTAAACAACCAAATTCTGCCATCCGTAAATGTGTAAGGGTTCAGCTTTTAAAGAATGGGAAGAAAATCACTGCTTTCGTACCTAATGATGGGTGTTTAAATTTCATTGAGGAAAATGATGAAGTTCTTGTATCTGGTTTCGGGCGAAAGGGGCACGCAGTCGGCGATATACCTGGTGTAAGGTTCAAGATTGTTAAGGTTGCAGGTGTATCCCTTAAGGCTTTGTACACACATAAGAAGGAAAGACCCAGGGCTTAGTATTTTTCATAATATATTTTCGTTTTTGGATATGGATTGTTAATTACGAATAACATGTTGACACGGTTTTATTGTATAGTGACATCTTTTCTTCATCTACTGATGTGCCCGGTACCTGAACTTCACGTTCTAGTGCATTAAGTTACTACCCGTTTAAAATGCATAGTCGAATATATATTTTCGCGTTAGTCTGCTTGTATTTGAGTACTATCACATGTTATTTATAAAAGATGCGTACCGCGCTGTGGGGGTATATCTTGTCATTCCAATGTAAGTATGTTCTCGAAATAATCTTACCACCAGTACATCAACGTGAAATAATATTGATTGATTCATCTAACTCCTGGTTGTTTATTTAGAATCTCATTTGTTTCCATTAATTTCATCAAGATCGAAGTTGTGTCTATTGCTTCATGCTATGTATTGTTCATTGCGATAATTAACCTAACCAATGTGACCACTCTTTTGCTAGGTTATATCTGTTTACAACTGGTTAAGTGTATGCTGATATTGTCATGACCAAATTCTCCAACCCAATACATACATTTTTTAAGCTTTGTGCCTCTTCATTATAAGAGAAACTTAGTCAAATGTCTTGCGAATAGAGCTCTTAAGATATGCTCAGTCGACACAATTGATAGGGAATTACAACACATAATATTTTGATTGAATTGGGATATCCACTGGGTTTCTTGAAGAAACACTTGCGGGTACAAAACAAGATATTAGTGACTGACGGCTAATAAGAAACCGCTTTTCTTGAAACTGCAATTCGATGGTGATTTAGCTAGCGATGTATTACGGGATAGATTGACTAGAGCAGTAAAGAGAATGTTTAATGCTACCAACCTCTGCCTATTGTATTCGACCCGATCGGTGGTGATTCCGCAATTGAAGGAGAAGGTACCTGGTTATGCCACTTTTATGTGTATCTACGAATCCAGCTGCTCCTGTGGAGGAAGCTATATTGGGCGCAATACCAGGCAACTGAACCAACGAGTTAGTGAACACCTCCCTTCGTGGTTAGGACAAGGTTACGTCAAAACAATACGCAGCTCGGTTCTATCACACTTGATCGATAGCAGTCATATAGCGGACAGAAACAAGTCGTTCGAAGTTATTAGTCGTATTGTTGTTATCAATGACTTATAAACTACCTTGGTTGGTTTAATAATTTCGTATATGCATATAATTATTACTGTATATTAGAGTAAAGCCTGATGAGGATCTAATCGAAAACAATATTGTTCGCTTATATATGTTGTTCTAAATTTATCTGTATCCTACGAGAAGACAGTAGATCTATTTAATAGCAAATAGCTATATGTAGTATTGTGTATCAGCTTACTGGAGTTGGTTGAAGAAAATCGTAGATTGAGTTTGTCAACATCAATTCCTCAGACGGACGGTGACTTTCAAGCGTTCAAACGCTCGGAGTGCATTTAAAGTGCTAATTTGGAATAACTTGATGATGTGTATCATATTGTTGACTTCAAATATATGTAGTCATCAGATTCGTTTTGGACAGTACAGTACTCCTGAAAAGATGATTCACTGTTATTCTAACAACTAACAAGACTACAACTATTAAAAATGTTGACGTCATTCCGCGATTTATTTGTTAGAAAACGAGTGAAGAACCTGAAATAATATATATTTACTTGAATTATCATAATACTCTACCAGTTTCAGAATCAAGTTAACTTCAATAAGCTAATATTTGCAAGCAATATTCAATATGTTTCTGTCAAATATGTAAGGTAAAGCATTTGGATACAGAATATTAATTGTTCAGCGATGTTATTTTCACAAGGATTGATACTAAAAGCTTGTAACAATAGTTAGTCGTAGATTCTAGACACCGGCCGAACGTCCAATTTTTTTACGCTATAAACCGACAGTTATATCTGAAAATTCGAGCGAGTATGTTGAAGGTGGTTTGAAGTTGCCGTAAGCCGACTCCTCAAAGATGTATTTATTAGCTAGTGGTAGAGATACATTAAATTTTCTTTTTTCTAAACCTTCACAGTTGTACTGTGTTATTAGTGAATAGTCCTAAGATGTTAAGGAGAGCGTTGTTTTTATGTTCCGATTTACCTGTAGCGAACAGTTCCTCAACTCAGACGGTAATAATTTATAGAATTGTGGGCTTTTCAACAAATGATAGATTTCCATCGCCTCTAAATTTTGAGTCACTTTCAGCTAAAAGTAATAAAAGATATGCTTATAGTATCTAAAGAGACAAAACATACACTATCCATAACGTATCTAGACTCGATGTTGTTTTCACAAGGTGAGATCCTCAAGTACTGAATCTTTCCAACGTTTCCTCGCTCAATCTGAAATATTTTTGGTGATTTATCAAAATAGCACTAATAAATGACATTACTGATTAAATATTGGCTAGTAAATCATTAAATGATACATGCATGCAGTTTCACAATACCTCCGAAAAATATAGGAAGGTGGTCAGTTTATAGAAGGGGGCAGTAGTATTAAGGAAAGCTACGTTGGACTAGTTTCTGCTGGAATAGAAGTTGGTGGCGGTACAAGCTTGAGTAACTTCGACTAAAAATTGGCTATTTTTGCTGAACTGTTCCTCCTTTTATTTATGATAATCACCCTTTATCCCCTGAATTTTATTTTCTTGTGTGGCGCATATTTAGTTGTACTTTTATTATGCGCTTTCAATTAAACTCCCGTAAGCACTCATGAAGACATTGCACCTGTGACAAGGTGGCTGTCTAAAAGTATCGCATGTTTTGTTCATCTTTGGTTTTCAACGGATGTCTATTTATAATTTTGTGCTTTGTAGTTACTAACCAGATATAGAGGTTTAGTATATTTTACACCGTATGACCACAGCAAGAACTGCAGCTTTCATGTTTTCCTGTTGGTATTCATAATCAATAAGTACATAGTGGTGAAGTCACCCTCCTTTTAACAACATAAACTAGAATAGAACGCTACCCATACATGCATGTATTATGATTAGTTATTAATCTTTATGACTTGAGGCATGGAAATTTCACTATCGAAGTAGTTACTGCTACAGAATTAGCACAAGTATTTATATTAGTCATAACCAGTCGTCGCTTGTAGTTTGGTGCTTCATGGCTCAAACGAAATAAGGAATTAGGTATGGTGTAATTAGTCTCTCTGAATGAGTCTATTTGTTTTACTGCATGTTAAAGGACGGAAATAGAGTCAATCCACAAATCTTGAACGCTTGATATTTAGATAATGTGTAGGATTTCCGAATTATATTGTATTATTCATTGTAAATCTAGCTAGTTCTCAGCTGATGGCATTGAATATATTATACTAAGCACATTTCTTTGTGATTAGTTCAAATTATGAGCATTATATTTAAGGTATGAGAAAATAATACAGACGAAACTGCTTCGTAGTGCTCACTCCTGTTAATAGATGAAGGGATATATTGAATTCATAATAGGTGGCTCAAACTGAGCAAAGCTTTTCCAAAAGTTACTAAAATCTCAGTCATTAACCCGAAAAAATTAGTTCTTAGGATTGCATCGTTTCATTTAGTAAAACTAGTTGCTGATGAAGAATAGTAAGTTAGCCTTTTGCACGTTGAGGGAGAGAAGCCCATCGCACGTTCCTTGACTTCTCTCTCGGAGTTTAAGGGATTCCGACTTTTTTTAGCTTCAAATAAAACTTGAGTCAGTTTGGGAGTCATTAAGTGGAAGACTAAGGTAAAATAGCAACATACAACCATATAATATTGATGACTAAAATCACTATGATCTGCAGATCCATATTTCAGTCCGAAAGTTAGTAAAATTCATGTCAATGGAGTTGTAAGAAATGAAAAGTTCTAACAACGATCTGGGCAGCTGGACTGTGAATATATTATTATTCCGAACTATGGCCCGTGTGTCCACCGGATAAGACTAGGATCTTATCGCTGTCGCATAGATTTCTCTGCTGGTTTGCCTATTCATCTTTACGTACGGACGTTCGCAGCATTTTAATACACTATATTGGGTTTTCAACCTAACATCGACATATTTGAGATCCATTGAGCACGATATCAACTGTTGAAATTAACAGCTGTTTTGATGTGTAGTAGTAAAGTCTGGCAGAAAAGTACGTTGATTACTAAACATAGAATAGAATTTCTACCGAGATATGTCAAGACAATCGATGGGGACCGTCTACTGATGTAAAGTCCTTTTTAAAAGAAAGTACGTTATTAATATCTAATAAACAGCCCAAACCTTTCCGACAGATGATTGTAAATCAGCAAGATTTTCAGTGAACTTGAACTTTGCAGACCATTTATTTTGGGATCCAATAACATCCAAATAAAATTCCTTGGGATCATTTAAGTGAATCAGTGGAGGTCTTATTTCTAAAGTATACTGAACCTTGGCTGACTGGTTTCCAGGTTTGGTTTTTAGACGAATCTCCTTACGGGCTGTCACTAGAGTGAAATCAATGATACAATAAAATGTTATCTTATTCAAACGATGTTTGTTAATCGAAACAGTTCTTATCAGTAATAAGGAAAATAACTACATCATATGAGCAAGAGGATTATCAAAAAATGAAGTCATGTAATATCACATACATAGTATATTAGGCTGGTTTCGTATTTAATGAAATAGTGTTCCTGGTAGGATATCACGTAACTAGTCCACATAAAAACTGGCTTTGCGAAGTATGGCGTAACGATATTTCGAAATTATCACTAGAATAAGTAATAAATATTCGCACGACGTTTGAGAACAGTAATTTATTATCATCCAAAAAGTAGTTGTGGATTAACGGGTTACGTATACCGGCTTACTCCGTGATGTTCTGATATAGCGAGAGACAAATGAACATCTTGAGTTCGCACTTATCCTTCATAACGCGATTTAAGAAGCAGTTCGAGTGTATGTATAACGGTAACGGTGGGGTTGGTGCGCAGATGTAATCAGTTCATATATAACAAAAACCATAGCATAGTGATTACTAAGAACTTTGTTGAAAAATAACAATAATCATTTACTAGATTTACAAACAGGTGTAACAGTAGAAACTGAAGCGAGATGATAAGCCGTGTGCATTGCTTTTTGCTTAAAAAGAGACTAGGGGACATAAATGTATCAGTAAACAGTAGATCTTTCCACAAAACAGCTGAAGTCTTCTTAAATTCATAACGATCGTAGTGCGTATCTACCAAATAGTCGATCTCGAAGTGATCTATTGTAGAGGGGCTCATAAATATGACTCCTACCTGAAGATGAGGAAGTTTCTGAAAGAGTATTAATTCAAATTTATTCAGAATATTGAATTTTATAACTTGCCGAGAAAAAACTTAGCACACGAATTAAAAGAACTCATAAATCCGATGGGGTATAAATTATATTATGTCTGGTAATAAATTTATCTTCAAACTATCTAAATATCAGTTGCAGTAATCTAAACTAAACCGAAGATGTTATTGTATAATCCAGGACAACAATAATATCCTGTTAATCGAACAGTGGGGAAATGCTTAATCATAGAAACGAAGATGGATGAATATGGAGATTTATGGTTTAAATGAACTTT